CGGCCACCTTATTTATTTATCATGATGTACCTCAATCTTGAAATAAAATTTTTTGGGTTGTCATTCTCACGTGTTTTTTCATCATGTCGCCGCACAGTCAGCAGATGCGATCACATACCAAAGTGCAGTTTGTATATCGTTGACCTATTTTTTGCGGATTAAACATTATCAAAGATAATAAAAGTTTTGAATTTCATCGGAAAAAGATCTCAACAAATATCTAAGTATATACGTGATCGCAACCACAACGTAAATCGCCAACAATGCAGTTTTCGAAAAACGAATTGTACCTTCACTCACCACCATATCGTTTTGCATAACTATATTGTTAACCGTTATCATTTTTCATACAACTATATATACATGCACTCTGTGTATTATGTATATATGTAATTATGCTATCCAAAGCAAATTAATATGGTTTTTGTTATTTCGTCTTGATCTCACGAAATTTTATTTAACCTTGATTTATGCAAAGTACAACGAAGTCGTTTGTTTCTTTAAATCGACTGCAAGAGACAATACACTCTACGTCGTTACTATGGAAATTTATGTAAAAGTAGCCATATGAGGTTTCGTGATGTCGACCGACCCCGGCTGAACGGGTCAGTTCGTATGCATTAATAATTGTTGAAAGAGACGCCGTAGCAAGAACACGTTGACCCGACCGACGACCGATTCGTTTGCCGTTAGTATAGTCAAGTCCATCGCCACTTCCACTTATCTAATTTTTGCGCCTCAACAGTATGTGTAGGCCTAGTGTCTATATCTATATTTTATTATTTTTTACGAAAATATAATATCCACTTCCCTTCCTCTTTTTTGCTCATCGCGCTGCTCAAGCCTTTTTTTCTTTGTCCTATTCGCCTCATAAACTCCGAACAAGATTATTAGGATGATTCAATTTTTAACTAAAAATAATGAAATGTTTCCCTACCTGGTGTTCAAACATTTAATTAATTATGTTTTTGGGTTATCAATACTACATTTTTGACATACGTATGTCTCATGACTGTCTCTTGAAATATTAAAAATACATGTTTCATACTGATTTCGTTTATAGTACTTTAGAGAGTTTATAGTAAATATAATTTTTATATTTTAGATGAATTAAAGATAGTGAGAGAGAAAAATTTTAAGAGGCATTAGTCAAACGATAACAATCGACTGCGGTTGCTACACTCGGAATCGTTGAATTGCTTTTTTTTATTTTTGATATTCTCACGAAATAGTTTTTAGTGTTATTATCTGTGAACAACGCGAGAAGTGTATGGGAATTATTTATCAGAACCATTATAATTAAAAGCAACTTTGTCGCCCAAACCGCCGATGTGCGTCGGAAAGGAGAGGAAAAAAAAAAAAAAAAAAAGACAGTGCCTGACGACTGACGATAGCGATAAAGAGCCTATCGCGAAGCAAAGTCGGTGGCAGTTAGCAGAGGAGGAGGGGGAGGAGAGATATTCCGTCAGTTCTATTGTATCGCACGAGGTGATAAAAGAACTGATTTCCATGGAATTGTTTGTGTTGATTTTGTTTGTCGGTTTAGTATAGCGCGCACATACACACTTGCACGATTGGTTGAAAAGTACTAACCAAACTCTAATCAAGCTGGATTGGAAGAAAAAAGCGTACAGTTGCGTATACTCACTTGAATTTGTATTTCTAACTTTGGAACGTACATTTTTCCCCTGACACAGAAAAAACGAGTACTAAAGTGCTTTGCGATAATCTTGAAAAATAATATTATCCTGTTATAATTTAGAGGGAAAAATCTCGCGATGACAGAAAAAAAAAAAAAAGCTGGCAACTGGTTGAAAATAAAAATTGATAATTATTTGATAAGATACAGGCAGACGGACAAAAGCTCTACATGTATCCTGTATCTCTGCAGGAGGTGGGGTGATGGTAGAGAAAGAGAGACGGAACGAAGGTTTATTTAAAGATAAGTATTATCCTTCTTTGCAGGCACATTATATACATATACCATAGAATTTAATCGCTAGCGCACAGCTGGATTTATAATAGCTTTTAACGCTTAGTAAATATTGGTAAAAATAAAACGATTGGACCGTCACTCGACCCCACCTGTTTGATCTTGTATACACCACATTGTCGGCTACAATTATACGATCATTGTAATGTAAGGGCAACGCGTCTACTTATGACCGTGAGTCCTGAATTGATTGAAAAAAAAAAAAAAAAAAAAAAAAAAAGGTACCGNGAAAAAATGATTTTAAAACAAACGCACACCCCACCTCATACGTACACGTTTTGATTATACGGGCATTGGCTGCTCAATCAAGCGTCGATTGTTTATCACCGGCTAATTTCTGGGACGGACCCCTCGTGATTGCCAATTAGGCCACGATTTGGCTATTGTGTGTACATGCTCGGGGATTGCTCGTTGTTGGACGGAACACGAACGCGCCGTGGAAAGAGACAAAGAGAATGGGAAAAGGAAAAGCTCCCTACTGCCGTGCACAGTAACCAAGTGCCTGCAAACGAAGGTGCAATACGTAACGTACACCCTCGTCGTGTCCCTTTATCGTACTCATTTTCCTTCCTGCAACAGAGTATAATACACATGTACTTTCCTATTGAAACTTTTACGTATAAGCTGGGCTCCCTCCTCTCCCCCTTACTCGTGCAAAATTAGGACGTCGCGGATCGAGCATACGACCTACTTTCTTGCAACCCTCTCTTATTATTCAGTCACGCGCCAACGTCGTACGATATATAGGTACTCTCCACGCCCCAGTTATTGCGAGCCCGGCAAATATGTTGTTTCGTTGTTTCTCCAGCGGATGGATGCAGGATCCGAATGCTGCGATGTGACGAGACTAAACTTTGTTTTTGTTTGGATGGCTGCCAATTTCAGGAAAAATTACCGTCCAAAAGGTCTTTGTAATTTTAACCGATGTTTTATCGAGCTGCTTCTCTTCACTCGGCTTTGAGCTCATCGTCAAGTTTTTTCGTCCCACCGGCCAAGTGCACGTTAAATCCCGATAAAAGAAATAATGACCGTATGGCCATTTAAATTTTCTCCATTTCCATGTAAAATCCATGAAAAGAGGCAGGATGATCGGTGACACCTAGGACCATCATTAGCAAATGAGACTAGGTGCAGGCGGGTCCAATTTCGAATATTGATTGCACTGCTCGAAGAAAATAAAACTTACTTCCGCGAGATATTGGGAATAACTCGATTAAAACGCAAGTCGCAGGGTGATGCTTGTTACCTCCTTACCCCTGAACTTTTAATGGCTTTGTAACTCAGACAAAATACAAGTGCACCACCATCTGTAACTGTACCATCTCTCCTTACATCTCATTGACAGAATGGCCTACCGCGAATACAAATCAAACGATAAAGATAAAAAATAAAGATAAATCGAGCTAAAGTGGCGATCCTCGAGCGACAAATGAAATAAATACCGAGAGAGGGGCCACTGCGCCGTTGGTGCGCCTGTTTGAAAGGGAGTTTTATTTTCTCCTCCACTGTGTACGACGAGCTCCTCTCATTTTTCCTCCTCGAGGCCTCTTGCAGCGAACTACACATGTATATATATATATATATATATATATATATATACTTACATCATGCTTTTGTCATACCTTCGCCTGCCATGCGCGTTTTACAACCGAACCGCCGACTTTTCGTTGCTATAATACATATTTATACCTATATCTATTTGGCGTGTACCATAATACATGTACATAATATAATATAACATTCGAACGGCATTTCGTAATAGATCCCCCCCCCCCTTTATTCTCTCTTGCTCCTTGATGCGCGGGTCAACGACACCTAAAACTCAACGTCGACTATCCGTCTCCCGGTTCTTTCTCCTTTTTTTCCCTCCTTTTTCGGAGTTTACCTTCTCGGTAATTAGTGTGTCTCTGATTCTTCCATTCTCCTCTTTTGTCCCTTCTTTTTCGGCAAGCTCAGTTGTTAGTTTTTTTTTATCAATGCCTACCTGTGTACATATATGTATACGAAAATTACAGAGGCCTGTCATGTTGTAGTCAATGTTGGTTACATTTTTAGTTGAAAGTTTTCGCTAGTACCTCCGTGCGCGTGTTTCATGTCTACTCTGTATGTTAAATTTGGGCAACGTCGCCCGGAGCGAGACTTTGATTTCAACATACGTATATTCATGATGTACACTTAATAGTAGGTACTTACAGTTGCTCTTTCAAATCACTTTACACTTAATCGCCTTTGATAAATGACAAACGAGTCGTGTACTGTGACATACTGTACTTGCTGGGCATTGAGACGACGATGATAATGATGATGATTATGTCTTTTGTTAGAAAAAAATCAATGAGCATCTAGATAATAATAATAATAATAATAATACACAATACATAAACACGTATAGGTATATGTATGCGTAACAACAGAGCCATGACGATAGCATATACAGCATAGCAGTTGGTGTCCGATACTTGACGTAAAAACTATAATATTATGTTACGGTATTTTCAAGTACTTTTATTGCCCTACGCAACACTTTTTTGTTGATTATTTGTAAAACATATATTGTTCCTGTAAGAAAGAGCTCACTTGTGTGTATCCAAGTGTTGTCACGAGCACATAACTTTCACTCTAGATAATTCTTTGTATGACCAAGGTGCTAATTCTGCGTGGAAACGCAGGCTTACGGCTCATAATGTACATCTATTCATATTCATTATGTACGTTATAGTAACACGAAATGATTGAAAGATCCTCTGACTTGGTGATGCATCGAACTTTATCGAGGTGCGCAGACTTGTGCTTATGATTGAAAATTGATTTCTTCTCACGAGAGAATGTACTTGAAATAGCTTTTTGTCGTTTTGCAATGCGAGTCTCAGCGACACATCTTCAAATTACTTTTCTGCAGCCATATACTTCCTGAGTACAGACTTGATTGAATAAATGAACAAAATTATCCAAATATATTGTTATCGTTAATTGTAACATTGTACTGTTTTTTAATGTTGCAGATATTCCGGCGCAAGTTCCGCCGCTTACACCTGGGACCAACAAGAAGATGACCGAGGCTCTGAAGGCATCCTTCGCGTCGTGGGAAAAAGAACAGATCCGCCTTAACATAACCAAAGGTCAGTTAGCAGTTAATTATATAATACGTCAATAATTGTGAGTATGAATGAAAAAGTTTGTGTGTGTGTACACTACTGTATGATACACAGTGAGAATATGTTATGAAAATGAAATTAATTGTTTCCTTCGGTTACAAAGGGATATATCATATTAATCGAGAGAACGGACGAACTTTGACCTATAAAGGTCATAAGCAGTAGATTTCGTACCTGGTGGTGCATGTCCCTCTGGTTGAATGCGCCCTTTATTTTTCATTTTGAGGAACCAATGAACGTACAAAGGTAAAAAAATGATTTCCTTGCCAAATATTCAAATTATACTATTTTCGGTATTTCATGCTACTCGAGTCATCGAATGAGCAATCAATTCCATAAATTCTCTATACAGTGCGAGTAGTTTACAAATATGGGTAACAAGAGTACGGATGCACGAGTTGGATCATTAAGTTCGCACAACTTGTTGCACATACTCAACATATAAGTACGGGGACGGTGGTAATCGTGACAACTGTTGTACAGGTGGCCCGACGATTCTGACAACGATTGGCCCCATATGTGCGCTTTACAATGGAGTCTGTATTAAATAGATATTATTATTATTATTATATATACGATATAATATGTGACCAATTGTATCGTTTACCCTTATCTGTACTGTCGTCGAACTTTCAATCCCGGGTTCTTCAGATTTCAAGTGTAGGGCCCGGTCCGTTAGCGGTGCAGCATGCACGCATCGGACAGTCACGCCCAGGTCACAGTACACACACCAACATCAGGTCGGGCATAGCTCAAATATCGGGTGCGTAGGGCGAGCGAGGTGTGGCGGTGTAGCGGCTGTGGGGGAGGGGGGGGGGAGAGCAAAAAGAGCATAAGGGGAAAAAGAAAGGGTCTCAGAGCGGAAATATCGTTACACCCGCCTGCCTCCGAATGCGCATACCGGATGTGTGTGTGGCATCGGCTCCCCATCACAAGCCCATCGGCCATCGTCGCGCTTACGATTCTTACCTCTGTATATATTATATACACGTACACGCGATACACGATTGTACACCTTTACTCCTCCTCTCTCTCTCTCACCCGTCACCTGCTACTCTTGACGCTATTATATTTTACACTCATTGTATACACGCGTGTACCCTATACCTGGCCTACATCCACCATCCCATCATTACCACTGCACTACACTACACATGCCAGGGATCGAGATGCCTATACATGTAATAATATGTGCTTTCATCGACAGGGACCTGTCTCTTCTGTAGCTCCCGTTTTTTTTCCTTTTTCATTTATTCGAATCTGGAGTGCAGGCTTAGTACATCATATCCACGCGTGCATAGTACATATACTTTTTTTTCTTTTTTTTATTTAAGGTTTTGATCTCATGAGAGGTATAAACGCAGTATATACGTATACTTGGGTTGTTTTTTATACCATTATTATATTTATATACAAGTATACTTGAAGCAAGGCTCGATCCACTGATTAGATTGCTCCGTATTTTCGTGTCAGTACTTCATTACCTCGTACACAGCGGTAGTGTGACTTTTTTTTCTCCCCTTTATTTTTTTTCATTGTATACCTACTTTCGAGCCTACTTTTCAATCGTGTTGTCAAGCTACATGCGGCCGTGTATCACGTATAATATATCCTTTGCCTATATACCTGTAACCTGCGCCTGAGTTGCCTGAGTTGCTTTTATACACACACATAACGTATACATACTCATATACATATATACATTACGACCGTCACTGCTTTTGTTGTGCGCGAGCGTGTCTTTCTCTACTACTTACTACTATTATATTATTGTTTGTTGGGGGCTCTTCTTTTTCATGCAAATTGCTCATTCGTTACTGGTTTTTTTCTTTTTTTTTCTTTTTTTTTTTTTTTTTTTTTATCATCATCATTATCAACTTGTTTATTATGTTAAGAAATTTTAATTTATCGTGGGGGGAGGGGGGCTTAAAAACCATCAAGGTAAATATAATATTTCATACAACCATCACCACTGTACATCAAAATTTTTTACTTGTTTTTACATATATAGACAAGATTAAATTTACTTCGCGTTCGACAGACTGAGATGCGGCGTTATACCCTTAAAGTCATTAAAAAATACTGCCAAAGTCATTTAAAGTTTGAAAAGTTAAAGATGATATTAATATCGAAATGAATTGTAACTTTTTATCGAAACGTCAAGAGTGCGCAACACCCCGCTAATGGGGATTGGTTATCGAGTGTCTATTTTGAAATACAGCAGTGACACATTTTTAAAACTTCTAATTGTAAGTTATTTGGACTTGAAGTTAGTCAACTAAATCCAAATACGAGTGAGTTAAAAAACACGAATATGGGCATGAGGCTGCACACTCCGATGAACTTTGAATGACTTACAAAGTCTTTTTTAATGACTTCAAGAGTGCGCAACCCCTCGAGTACGGGTACCGTCACCCACATAAATTATGCTAATATCAGGTATGTACTCTCTTTTAAGATGAATTGAAAGAAGGGATAATGGCATATTTATTGTTACGATAAAATCCGTGCTTGAAATATTCTGAAAGAATTTACGCAAAAATCTTGTTCGAACACTGGGTTTTGTTAACCAAAACGTTATGTATCCGTCAGAAACTATCCACGTATAGTCACAACTATGTAGTAAAAGTTGTATTTTTTTTATTTATTATTATTTTTTTTTAATGATGCAGGTACTTGATTTTAAAAAGAGAAATAAGGAGTTTTCGTTGTTTATGGATGAATGTCTGAAAGAAAGAAAAAAAGTAATTTAATTGTAACTGATAATAAAATCATTGCATTATCATGCTCATCTCGGTCGTTGTAATCATAACACCAAGCAAGTACTTGCTGGCAGGTATACGTGAAATGACGACTCACGTCAAACGAAGTGAGAGTGTTGCTGGGAGGAGGTGCAATGGAAAGCCGTTGAAGAGGCCCTCCAACAAAAGAGTCTGTTAACAGAACCAACAAGAATCAAGACGAGCAAATACAGACGCTATCCTCAAATATATCGGCAAGCTCCTTTGATCATCGCCGTCGTCCCCGTCATTCCTTCTCTTTCGTGTCTCTCCCTTCCCCCTCGCCCCCACTCGTATCTTTCTTTCTTGTGGTATCCGCGATCAATGTATTATTATATGTACACAATGGTTAGATGCGAGAGATCACGCGTCTCTTGTAAGTACTTACGTTTCTGCGTGCCCAGCTCGTCGCACCTTCCGCTCGGTCTGTCATGTTTGTCACCGGTGCCGCGAGGGGGGAATGGAACCTCGAACGGGGAAATTCCATTCATCCGCAAGTAAGTAAGTACCTATGGGGGCTTAACCTTTCATTTCATGTAAACCTTATACATGTATCTGTACGAACACTTGCACGACCGAGTAATAGCATTACGAATATATTGTATGTAGGTGGGCACTAACGTGCGAGCAAACGGGTCGTTTTCTCAAGTCTGTTTGAAATACTTGATTGACTTTTTTTTTTTTTTTTTTCCTATTTCGGTTCTGTTCAAATTCTCAAGTATACACGTATTTTTCGGTGGATTTTCATCTCAAACCTTGATATTTTTCACCAAAATAAATTCCAGACTAAAACTTAAGGTTTTAATTATTTCTGGATTAAATTAATTTTTTTTTTGTCTTCCCCCCCCCCCTTCCTCGAAACAATACCCACCTACTTTTTTAATGACAAATACAACAGCTGCGTACCGAAGGCCCGTAAATTATTCTATGCTCTTTGTACAGCTTTGATCAAGTCCGAGTAGATACAATTGATGAAGCGAGTAATTAGTAAATGGTTTTTAGGTAACACGAGGTAGAAAATCAAGCATCTTAAAAGTTAATGATTATTCAGGAAGAAAAATTTGTTTGATTTTAGATCCACGACAATGGTCGGAATCAGCGGTGTCAAGCTGGCTGCAATGGGCGATCCGCGAATTCTCGCTCGAGGGCGTGGCTATGCAGTCCTGGCAGCACATGACTGGCAAGCAGATTTGCGCCATGGGCAAGGAGTCCTTTCTCGCCCGAGCCCCGGTCTTCATGGGTGACATCCTCTGGGAGCATCTCGAGATACTTCAGAAAGGTATTGCTGCTTGTTATTATTATTATTATACTCCGCAACATCTACTTATGAATTTGCCGCTCGTATTTGGCCCTGTTATGTAGGCGCTCCATTATTCCCTTGTGCATAATATATTATACATGCATACGTACAGGTATATAATGGTTTTCTCAGTAAATTACATCTATATTAAATTAACGTGTATTTATACCAAATGGCAACAATATTGTCAATAGAGTTACAAAAATTACGTTGCACTGTAGGTTACTATTAAAGTTCGACTTTATTTCACTTACTATCAAATTTCGGCGATGATAACCAGTAAAACGCCAAATATGCTGCGTCAATTTTGTTGCTGCCCCTTTGACTTATTGTAGAGATTATCAGTTTTGATCGAGTCTACAAGTACCCAAGTGTTAAACTAATCTTGACTAATCCTGCATTGCATGGATCTAAACAAGTGGAACGTATAACTGATTTATAATATTTGTACTTGATATATGTAGGTAAATATTTGCATACTGCACTTATGTGCGTAGAAAACCAAGTCAGTGATTTAAGGGAAAAAAGAAGATGCGATTCACCTCTATGCACCTATAGGTGTATAATAATCAGTTTGATAGTAGGAGACGTAATAATCGGTAGCTACGCATACAAAGTTTTACAACAAGTAGATTGGTACTACTGTGTAATTTATTGGCTGTGTAATAATAATAATAATAATTATACTTATTGGATATTTTTGTGGCATCAACGCTCTATGAAGTGCTCACAGTGCTGACCGGAGAAGAGACCAACTGTGTGTATTCTTATGACAAGGATTAAAAATATATTTTTAGTTTTCAAGCAACTATAATATTGTTGGTAGTTGTATAATTGTAGTATAGCTCAAAATCGTCTTAAATCTTATTCCATGGATTGTTGATACAGGTGGGACGTTGCCCCGCATAATGTAATTTTTTAGGTACCTGATGCAGCACAATAACCAACATCGGGGGAAACATTGCACCGAGAAACCTTAAACGTGTGATGACTAAAAGATTCAAAGGGTTGAAACAATAAATTTTTTTCATTTTTGCAGACGTTGACTTGGAAAAATCGTCGCTGGAGAATATGCCCGCCAACCTGTATGAGAGTGTTTGCGTGCCGGATCTCAACGAATTTCTGAGTTACCAGGCCAACAGCACTACTTCAGTCTCATCCACAGCATCGGAGACCGCCAAGGGACCGTCCACACCCGCTCCGGTGCAGCAGCAGTCTCAGTCGTCTGTCGTGCCCTTGACTCCCAGGCAGTTTCGCAGTGACGGTAAATACAGCACCCATTTCTTTTTTACTTATATTTTTACAAAATTTATGTTTCAATCAACTAATGCGAGCAAAAGCAGGTAATTCCTCAAGCCGTGTAGTCTGTTGTGGTTCATACAAAATTAAGTTAGTACGGAGATTTTTTGCAACAGGTGCGATTTTGATTGCGCGTCGTTGGCAGATATTATTTGTGTGTGTGTGTTGACTAGTTAATAATTCACGACCGCACAAGTGCTGATCGCAAAGTACGCGTGGGCGGCTTGGCCTATCGCGTGTAGTACCTAGTGTCCACGATGAAAAAGATTACTGTGATATTCACCGCGAAACTAAGTGGGTACGATCATCCTGCTGGGACCCCCTGCGAATACGAAAATTGTCATTATCGAACTATGGTAAAAAATTATCCTGGACAAAAAGGGGACAAAACACAATAGTGAACTACGGTAAGGAATTATGATAAAGATCGTGGCCAACCCAACTTTCCCGTACTTTTTTTCTTTGCGTACACGAGTTACGAATTTTGTTTTCGGTAACTTACAATGAAATAAAAATATATGATCAGTGCACCCTTCATCATTAAACTTTTGAAGGAATCCGATTAATTTTGATAAAGAAAAGTGAGATTTTGAAAATCCTCTCTATAGGAATATTTCTATACATTTGGCATCAAATTAAAAAAAAACAAAAAAATGAAAAATTAAAAAAAAAAGTGAAAAATTGGAGAAGGTGCCTATGTGGATGAGTAACCACAATAATTAATTGGAGCAGAAAAATCTTGCATCACTGCTCTATGCTTGGCAAGCTTGTATTGTGAATAAAAAGTATAATGAGTAATAAGTATAAATAGGTATATAGGGTGTAGACGGAAACGATGGGAGAAAGTGATGCATGTACCCACAGGTAGGGAGGCATATAGAAATTGTGTATAAATTTTACTCTCTCTCTGCATTGTTGGTGATAAGTATTTTTACCTATATTATACTTGTGTTGGCCTATTAATCTGACTCCTTCTACGAAGACTAGTACAACTCAGAATTTTCAATATGATTTTAAATGAAAAATTTTTATTGTTTGCTAGTCTTCGTAGCGGTCGTTAAAGATTATTATACTCTAATAGATGTGGACACTATGACGATATTTATTTCGGTAGTCAGTCAAAATATCTATTCTTGGATTTTTTTTTTTTTTTTTTTTTTTTTTTTTTATTGCCATGCCAGCAGAGCAACGATTCAAGTGTACGAGTTGCGCCAACGAGTGTCTGTTGGCGGCTGTGTTTATTTGTCGATTCATTCATACGTCTATGCGTATAGCTCGTCAGATTGTACTATATAGCACTGTTAACCTGATACAATTGTGTATATGCGCGCGCGTGCGTGTGTAGATAATATTGAGTACAGCGTCGTTACCCACCATCATCACTTCATCGCAGTTTTGCACAGAATTAATGACGGATGGCTTGCAGGGGAGTTTCAGCAACAACTTTGTGAAACTCGCACCTCCCGGTAATATGGGAAGGTACTTGATGTGTCGCGACTTCCGCTCTTCGTGGTTGTTTTATTGAGTATACCCGTTACACGTGTAGTAGAGCTCTGCGAGTGTTTCGACTTTATTCTTTCCTTACCGCGCTCGAGCTTTCCCAATTTCCCGAAATTTCGCAAACAACGCGTTGCTACCTTTTTGCCTACTATCAATCAAATTTCAGCACTTGTTTGGTAGACGAAACTGTTATTATTATTATTATTATTATTACTACGCATGGGGATGGGATGCGTCTCTTTACACACGCGTAACATTCAGAACGATTATTTTAATATTTCCCACGTATAGCAACGTAACATACTCATTGTGAATATTAAGCATACCTGTTCATTGTTCAACCTTTCATTCGTATCCATATACTATTTCGCCCACGTCGATTTTACGCTAAATAATAACAACAATAAAAATACGAACATTACGGAGAGCCACAGTGCCAAATTGAGATAAATTTTATTATATTTAATTTTTTATTTGCATCCCTGCTTACGTACAGTCCGACTATAATTTATAATAATCAAGCCGCACTAGGAATGGACTTAAGAATCAATACGACAGTACAATTCAATCGACGACAAGCTACACAACCCTATTTTTTATTCCACTCGCATACAATATTCCTTTTCTTGTTCTTTCTCTTCCTCCCTCCTCCTATTCTTGTATATGTTAAATGTTATTGGCCATGGACGTAACTCGCACCAGTAATAGTCCATACCCATTGACGTTAATACATTTCAATCTACTATTTATGTGCTCGTGTAATTCAAGTATTATAGGTATTCATAAAACCTTGATGAATCCAATTGGCCCATTGACTATCAAACATGCCTGTTACAAATGTGCAGATCTTTTAAATTTTTGGGAGAATGTTTTATATCCTTCAAGCCTCGATGCGCTAATTTTTTTTATGTTTTCCGTATAACTGTCATCATTTGTTAATGTGTTGTAACGCACCGTAGTAAACAACAAGTGTCATCGCGCAGTTGATGAACTCGATCTAGATGATGAATAAAGCCAAATCCATTGGGGTGGGAGCGACTTCACGTACAAAAAATTTACCGATGGGGTGGGATGGAATTGTACACCGAGCGAACAGTATAATACATGCACATAATATATGTGACATGAAACAATAAGCAGCAAGATTTATAGGAAGAAGGGGGGGGAGAGGAGGAGGAGAACTAAGGGACATGTAGCTTGGAAAAAAATGATAGTGGTGGTGTGTGACGTCTTTCATGCGGTGTGACCCTGCAATTTCATTGCCGCATCGATGCCGACTCTGATGTCGAAATGATAATACGAGCTGCGCCTACCGATCAGTATATATAGTTAGTTGCTCACTGCCAGTGCATTTTGATGACCGATGGACGCAAGGACTGTTCGTCCCCATTGACTATCAATATACAACATACGGATACTTAATTATATCTACACGGCATGTTTATATTATCTTATAACTATACACGTCATGATTTATGCCGATAAAGCTTCCATGCTGCCCTTGAATACTATAAGTGGGTAAAAATGTGTGTGTATACCTACATACACGTACGTAATATTTCTACGTACTACCAGGAGGCAGCGAAACTTGCTATGTTCTTCCGAGTTCCATTTTTTTAAATACGATGGCTCATGTACGCGCGTGCTCTTCTTACATGCATTCAAAATCCTTAGCTGGTCATCCCTGATTTTCTGAGATAAAACGGGGTCCCATTTCATCCGTCTTGTTGAAAAAAAAAAAAAGTGAGATTTCTTGACTAGGATCATTATCGAGTCGCAAGCCACTGGCGCAAAGATTCTGTCTCAGGGCTCGTTGGGGGGTAATTACTTTAGTAAACAATTATTTTACATACCTATTCGATCTATATACTTAACGTAGTAGAAAAGTTTTTCGTCGATCTAACAAAGTATTGGAGGGTCCAGGTAAATTACATATACATCTTAGACATTGGTACACTTTTGAGATACATTTTTTTATTTTTTTTATTTATTAACTCTTTTTGCTTTTGGGCGAATTTCGAGAATTGAATACAATAATACTGGGAATAAAAGTATGAAAAAGAGCTACTTACTTGATTGAAATTGGAAAATTAAAAAAAAAAAAAAAAAGAAAAAAAGTGGTCTAGATTTTTCCAGAAAAAAAAAGATGTGAGCCATTACAGAGTCTCAGTTACCTCCGAGGATGGTTTTTTTCAGTCTCCACATCGTAGAGTGGCCCACACACCATCATAATAATCATTTTGGGAGCACTATTGTGTTTTTATAATAATAATAATAATAATAATTTTATATTTATATGTTAAATAGTGAGGTACATATCGTGTCCGGGAAAGAAAACAATGTGCCACCCACTTGTTGTGGTTGCCTTTTCCTTCAGACTATTATACAGATTTTTACACTATTGTTACAACAATCGGTTACCTTAGGTGAAACCGCCTCGTAAGATTCGCGCGCGCTTGCACGCATCTGTTGCCTTGAAACGAGTACTTATCAGTTAAGTGTAAGCAGTAGGTGGTAGGTACGAGGGAGGAACGGTAGTTCTCCTGAAAACTAAAAAGTGAAAGTCGCATTCTGGGCAAAGAAGGTCTCGTGGGGTAACGCCTATAGGAAGCGCGTAAAGCATCAGTGCCGTGGCAGAGAAGGGGAGGAGAATGGTGTCGAGGCGCTGGAGATAACGACATCGGGCACCAAAGTGGGCGATCTGAAAGGGGAACGATGAGGAACTCGAAGCAGAAAGAAGAGGAGGGTGCATTGAAAAGTGGGAGGCGCAGTATATGTGTATACACATACCTATATATTATACACACGTAGATATTGTAGGCTGGAGCAGAGAGAGTTTTACTCAATGGAAGCCGAGCTCATGTGAGAATACACGACACTCGTAGGTAGGTATAATATATATAGGTACATATTGCAGACACAACTTATGCACCCGAGGAGGGGAGGGAATCATTCTGTACGCACACCACCAGGACTGCTTATAGTATAAGTATATATTATATACGTATAAATCGCTTGCTCTTATTTATTATATAAGTATGTATAATGTAGGTGTATATATACCTACGTGTAGTGTGGGTAAGTAGATACGTAATACAATGTAATAGGGCGCAACACTTTCTGTACGTATATAGTACGCATACTCACGTGTACTGCAGCACATGTGTTGCGTATAATAAAATACTTGGGTCCCTTATAGGTATATATATATAACCGCGCGTGTACGAGTATATGTATATACCAAGCAAAGCAGGTCCTCACCCTACGGCTTCCGGTTGTAACGCGAGAGCTTTCGGAGTTTGTTTCGTTTCAGAGCAAGACACCGATTGATGCCACCACCACCATTCATATACTTACCCATCATCGTTGTCGTGCACCAACAACCGGATCGTTGCCTCTGCTTGCACGAACTGCGACCAAACGCTTACACCAATAATATTATATACTCTGCGCACACACTTCATT